GGTTCTAGGACAACTGGATAACTACATGCAAAAGAATGAAATTGGGCTGGGCGCAGTGGTTCACACCTGTAATCCTAGCACATCAGTAAGCTGAGGCTTAAGCCCAGGAGTTCGAGACCAGCTTGGGCAATACAGTGAGACCTCATCTCTACAAAAAATTTACAAATTAGCCAAGCATGGTGGCTCGCATCTATCGTCCAGCTATTTGGGAGGCTGAGACAGAAGGACTGCCTGAGCCCAGGAGGTTGAAGCTGCACTGAGCCGTGACCGTGCTACTGTACTCCAGCCTAGGTAAAAGAGTGAGATCCCAACTCAAAAATGGAAAAAAAGAAAAAGGACCTCAAAAAATTAAACACAGAGTTACCATATGACCCAGCAATTCCCCTCCTGGATGTACACCCTAGAGAAATGAAAATGTATGTTCACACAATAACTTGTACGTTTTTATGTTCACAGCAGCATTATTCATAATAGCCAAAAAGTGGAAATAACTCACATGTCTATCAACTGATGAATGGATAAACAAAATGTGGTATATCCACATAATGGAATATTATTCAGCCACTGAAAAGAATGAAGTATTGATAAATACTATAACATGGATGAACCTTGAAAGCATTATGCTAAGTGAAAGAAGTCACACACATAAGACAACATATTACATGATTCCATTTATGTGAAATATTCAGAAGGAGCAAATCCATATACAAAAGGGAGTACAAAAGTGCTTGTCAGGGGATGGGTAGAGAGAGGAATAATGGGTGACTACTAATGAGTACAGGGTTTCTTTTTGAGGTAATGAACATTCTCTGGTTTTAGATAGCAATCATGGTTGCATAACCTTGTAAATATACTAAAAACAACTGAATTGTTCCCTTTAAAGTGGATAAATTTTATGGTATGTGAGTTATATCTCAATTTTTCAAAAGTATATTTAACTAAATGAAAATGAAAACACAACATACCAAAATTTGTGTGACATGGCTAAATCAGTGCTGAAAGGGAAATTTATAGCACTAAATGCTTACATTTTAAAAAGAGGGACAGTCTGAAGTCAATATACTAAGCTCTCATCAAGACCAGAAAAAGAGCACAAAATAAATCAGCAAGCAGAAGAAAGGAAAAATAAAGATAAAAGCAGAAATCAACAAAATTGAAAACAGAAAGACAATAGAGTAAATGAATGAAACAAAAAGTAGTTACTCAAAAAGATCAATACAACTGACCAACCTCTAGCAAGATTTACACAAATAAGTGAAAGCACACATAACTAATTTGAGGAATAATACAGAGGCTATCACTAAAGACTTGGAAGACATCAAAAAGACAATAAGGAAATACTATCAACAACTCTACACACACAAATTTGACAATTTAGGTAAAACAGACCAATTCCTTGAAAAGCACAGACTACCACAACTTATCTAACATGAAACAGATAACTTGAATAGCATTATAAAGATTTTAAAAATTAAATGTTAATTTAAAACTTCCCAAAAAACAAATGTCCAGGTCCATGTGATTTCACTAGAGAATTCTATCACACATTTTAAGAAAATTTAACACTCATTTTGATAAAAGAAATCAAAGAAAATCTAAATAAAAAGACTGTACTCATGGAAGACCTAATCAAGTAAAGATGTCAAGTCACCCTAAATCGAGACAATTGGGAGACTTTTTCAAAATACCCACATTTAGATAATTGTTAACAATTCTACACATGGGGGGACCCAAAAAACCCCGAATTATCTTTTGGAGGGTAGGCCCCTTGTAATACACTCAGAATTTGTTCCTCTGGATCAAACGGTCAACCAAAGTTTTTACTTAGAAGTTTTGAGAAGGTTGCGTCACGATTTGCAGAAGAAACATCCAAAGTTGCGGCAGATGACCGGTTCTTCCACCATGACAACGCACCTGCCCACATCCCGTTGACTGTTCATCAGCTATTGATCCAAAATGACATGAACCCTGTATCCGCACTCCCTATTCACCTGATCTCGCCCCGAGTGACTATTTTTTGTTTCCTAGATGAAAAAAGTCCTCAAAGGGAAATATTTTGCCAATGTGGAAGAGGTGAAACCAAAAACAGCAGAAGCACTAAAAGGCATTAAAATGGACAAGTTCAAAAACTGTTTCAAGCAGTGGAAAAAGCATCTCAACGGGTGTATTGCATCAAACGGAGAGTACTCTGAAGATGACTGAAGTTTAAACATGTAAAAATAAATATACAAATGTTTATTAATAAATTCTGGGTTTTGGGGGGTCTTCCCTCATACATTGTTTAGAGAAAAAGTCCCATCCTCACTCCGATCATTCTGATTTATAGCCTCAAATGCCAACCTCCCAGTTACTATCCCTAGAATCATGGGGCTTAGAGTCCTATTCTCTATCTGTCCACCAAGTTGACATCAACCCAGGGCAAAAAAATGTCCAACAGCCTCCTCCTGGACCCCTCCACCTGCAGTTTCCCCAAGTGACCATGCTGTCCACTGGCCACCACATGAATTTTCTTGAGACCCAATTCTGGGCCTTCAGCCACTATGAGAGAAATATCCCACATAGTCAGATTAATACACTATGGGAAGGGGTTAGCTGTGGGGCCACAAGCTCCTTTCTGCTTTTTGCCCTCCTCAAACCCTCCCAGAGGGGCCCAGGGACGACCTGTAGGAATAAAAAGTGTCTGTCCTTGCTTCACGGAACACTTGTAGCACTTGTCCACCTGGTCCCCAAAGAACATCTCATTCTGATTAGAGGAGCTGCTCCAGCACTCAAAGAGAGTCAGATTGGCATTTGTTGGGCGAATCAGATAGAAGATCTTCTCACCCTGAAACAAAAAGAGGTTGAAATGCCAAAAATAACAAGGGTTTCCAGAAAAGTCTTTCAGGGAGCTCCAAAGGGCTATATTCTCTGTCATGGAAAACTTCAAAGAGTCCTTTTGTTATTTGTACTTTTAAGTTTCTATAAACTTGACAAAAACAATTTGGAAAGGGCATTTCAAACAAAATTGTCCAAGTTACAACAAATATATACCAAGTACTCCTATTTTAGAGGCAATGCCAAATGAAAAATGACCTCTACAGGTGAACAGATCAATACTACAAGCCTTCAGAGAATTTAAGGCCACATTACTGATGAGAAGAAAATTGAGTTTGCTTTTAAATGCCATTTACAGAGTGTGCCTTTTTACACCTGCAGTCAAAACTAATACAAGTTTAAAAGTTCAGTAATCGCCCAAGGACTTCAGAAGATTATATGTTAGGTGATTATCTGTTGGAAGAACATTTTATTTCCTAACTGTGCTTTGCCTGGATAACCACCGGATAGATAATTTGTCAAACAAGAAACAAAAATTTACCAGCACAAAGATATCCTCAAAGCTTAATTGGTTTAAGCGATATTTCACAATCATAAATTTCAATGAAGAAAAGGAACAACACTAGGAATATCTATTATACAACTGGAGAAATTTGAATCAGATCTACAGATTAGTTAATATCAATGTGAATTTCCTGATTTTAAAATAACTATACTGATTATATTAAAAATGCATTTGATTTTCAAGGACTATACACTTATTAAGATATAAAGGGAGACGAGTGCAGTGGCTCACACCTGTAATCCCATACTTTGGAAGGCTGAGGTGAAAGGAATGCCTGAGCCCCGGGAGACCAGCCTGGGCAATTTGGTCTCTACAATAAATAAAAAAACTCAGCCAGGTGTGGTGGCGTGCACCTGTAGTTCCAGCTACTTGGAAGGCTGAGTTGGAAGGATAGCCTGAGCCCAGATGGTCGAGGCTGCAGTTGCCATGAATGTGCTATTGTACTCCAGCCTGGGTGACAGTGATACTCCAACTCAGAAAAAAAAAAAAAAAAAAAAAAAAAAAAAAAAAAAAA